GGGAATTCATTGTAGCAGAAGTGTAAGTCTAGATACCAAACCCAAGGTAGATCCATGAATGGACAGCTGCTAAAATCCACTATACAAGGTTGTAGCCATCTATGGGGTCTTCAGTTCCTGAGCTTTCTGATTAACTTTGGCCAATCCCTGGTTCCAAAGCATAGTTAATCTAGAAGATCCCCACCCACCCCCAGGCCTGCATTGGTATATCCTAGCACTCGATTTAGGCTAAGCACCCTAAAGATATGATTTTGCTTCAAAGACAAAGAGAAATTCAGCTTTGTCTACTTGTGAGTCTGACCAATTATAGTGCTACCCTGATTGGTCCACAGAGACATTTTCTAGAAAGGATGTATATTAGGATCTTTTAAAAAAGAGGACAAAGTCCTCTTTCTGGGCTTGTGAGTGTTTCCATGTTCTGATTACATTAACGTGAAACCTGGGGTCACTTAGAGAATGAAAACTAACAAAGATATGTCACTGTCTCTTTACTCCAAAATACAGTGTGAAGAGATATCCAGATATTACCCGCACTCCATCTGACCCCTGTCTGAAGTTGGAATTCTTCAACTGGGTGAGTGGTTCTCGGCCCAGTCTGGTCTTGTTGTGTTGGTTGGTGAGGGAAGATCACAGGAGTTGCCTGCAATGTTCCAGCTAAGCATTTGAGGACATGACCAGGACAGTATTCTGAATGTCTGTGGCTGATAGGGGTTAGGGATGCATGCTCTGATTGTTTTCCTTTTAAATTCCTTTTGTTAAAGCAGAAGTAACAGGTCTGTGGCTTCAGCCAATCAGAATCTCCTTCTCATTTTGTACACTAAAGAATAAATTTCTTTGCTCCTTTAGAAATACAAAAAGCAGGAAACTGGATTTCTAAGCAACAATAATAAAATAATCTTGTAACTTGGAATTTTCAGAAATCACATTTTTTTTCTTCCTTTGTTAGAGGCGGAAAGCCGATCTTTGGGAAAGGATTCTTGAGCTCCGAGAAAAATAGGCAGCATTCATAGTGTATTAAACCCATCTGCTTCTTGTGAGGAAGAATAATTTTTACATGGCAGTGACATTTCAGACTTTGAACGGGGTTTTCTTGAGTGGCTTCCATAACAATGTGTTGCCCAATTTGGTCTGGGAGGAGGCGGAAGTGAATTAAAATGTATTCTCTCACCTTCCTGCTCCCTGTGTTTAAACTCATATAGACTCACTCCAGTCTACCCCTCTGCCTGGTTTGTTTTTAGCATTTTTCATTTTAGAATGCTTTTCTATGTCTTAAAATTATTTTTCAATACTTTGTTCATATTCTTATTTTTCTGTACTGTATAGTAACTACTGGGCATACATGTGGCTGTTTGAATGAATTAAAATTAAACAAAGTAGAAAATTCATTTCATAGGCATACATACGGGCCTCGTTTCAAAGACTCAGTAGGCACATGTGACCAGTGGCTGTGATATTGGTCAACTCTACTACAGGGCATGTTATGCATCACAGAAAGTGCTGCTGGGCTTGTGCTTGACTGGACCCTGATCTAAGAATCCCCCTCCCCTGCCACCTGTCAGTTAGTTCACGGCTGTTTTCTTCAGTCAGACAGTGGAGGGAAGGCCATCCTTCCTCGAAGGCTCTAGCTTCTTTCAACATGTAGGCTGCCGTGTAGGTCCTGTGTGGTTCAGCACATGCCAGTGCAGCTGAGTGTCTGTGTGTCATTGTCAACAGCACCCTTCGCATTCTCCCAGGTAAGCTTTGCTTGGGATGGTTGACCGCATGACCACCCGAGGAGACTGCTGTCTTTCATTTCCTCAAAGATTTTGCCTCCATAGCTGCCTTCTCCCTCCACGGCAACCTCGGTTTCCCCCTTTCCAGTGGACCCCATTTCCATTTGCAGAGAGGCTGTTATTTCTCCCATCTTAAAAAAAAATCCTCCTTTTCGATATCCCTCCTGACTCTTGTCGCCTCATGCCTGTACTTCTGAGTTCTAGATTGTTGTTGCTCTGGCTAGTTGCCTATATGCCACTTTCTCCTCAAATCACTGTTTCATCCTTCGTTGCACTGGTAAAATCATGATATAGCTCTTATTAAAATATTTTATTTGCTTAGATTTTATGAATTCTCTTCCTTTCCCTTCTTTGCCTTTTTTACTATCTTTTTTTTAGCCCTGGTGATGTTGGCGGTTATGCATTGAGCTGTTTGACCACATGGTCAGCAGCTCAGACCTGCCAGCTTTCTGCTCCTGTAAAGATTTACAGCTTTAGAAAGGTCACAAGGGCTCTATTCTGTCCTCAAACTCAAAACCAAATTCACTGCCATGGGAGATATCCTGCCCTGTGTTTCGAAGACTGTATTTCTTTACCGGAGTAGAAAGACATCTCTCTCCTGTAAAGCGCTGGTGGTTTCAAACTGCTGACCTGGTGGATTGGAGCCCAATGGTTAAGCATTGGGGTTCATGCAGGGTCACTATTAGTCAGAATTAGCTCCAAAGCAGTGAGTTTGGTTTTTGACTTTTTAATGTTGAAGTACCTCAGGGTTCTGACCTGACTGCAGTTTCTTAATTTCAGCAACTGTATTCTTCAATTCTAGATTGTCTAGTTGCTATTTTTGTGTCCATAAAATAAACAAATAATAATAAATGAATTTTAGTCTTCGAGTGAAAAAAAACTCTAGTTTCCATACATTCATCACAATATTTTAAAATCCATGTCTGATCATGACAATATTATAGTTTACTCGTGGGTTTGTTTCTGTTGTCTATTCTTTCTCTTGCTCCTGTTTCTTGCTTTCCACAGAGACTCTGGTATTTTACATGGAAAAGTGCTGAGGCTTTGAATAATGCTATCTTCCTTCAAACAGGATTCATTCTGTCCTGTAGCCGTTAGAAGAAGGGTGTACCATTTCGAGCCAGCCTGAGACTGAGCTCACTCGAGGCTTGTTTGCAGAATGTGTAATGCTTGGTCTTACTCTGAGTTAACCTTACTCCCAGAATATAGTTCTTCTTAAGAGTCTCAAAGGATCTCCATGAAATCCCTCATGTGTTTCCTAAGGGATTTTCCTCGTTGCTTGTTCCTGAGAGAAATACTTCTCTCCAGGACTGTGAGAGTACTGAAAGTTGTGCTTGGTGCTTGACTTAATAAGAATTTAGAAATTAAAAATGAACAATTTAGAGAATGTTGTTAGGGGTAAATAAATTTAAATTAAAAAGATCAGAATAATTCCTTAGCATCTCGCTCCTCACCACTGCTTTGGTTTTCCTAAATACCAATGTATATCCCCTAACTCGGATCTGCAAGGTCAGCAGATCAAAATCACCAGCCTCTTCATGGGAGAGAAGAGGGGCTTTTTACCCTCATAACAAGGTACAGTCTTAATATTGATTATGCTGGATCGAACTTGATTCTTGGGTGGTAGATCTCCCTATAGACAAGACCTGAACCTGTACTGGTGCAAGCATCTCTTAGTTGTTCCATGACAGAAATTCCCCTCCCCTGGCCTTTTGAAGGTTGATGGGGTCTTCTCCCACAGACACTTTATTTGTATTTTTGTCTCTATATTAATACGATCTTATCCTTACCACCTTAGTGTGATTTATTCCTCATGGTTTTTTGTGAAGAACAGAAGGATTGGCTGTATAATGATAATAACTGATACGAAGTGTTATAGGGCCTGCAGGGGTGGAGGAAGGGCAATAGGGAGGGATTGGTGATTTCAGGTGTAAATAATAAAGGCAGGAGAGGGAGAGAAGTACTAGAACTGATCGTGAATGCACCACTCAGTTTAATGTGATATAACCATAGGGGGAGGGAATGCTCTAAGATAGATGTGGTGGAGATGGTAAAGTTCCCCTTGATGATACGATTGACCAGTTGAACTATTCAATTAAATATATAAATTATGTACCTAGAAAACTCTTGGAGTGAAAAGAAAAAGGTGCAGTCTTGCCAACTCTCAAGGGCAGGCCTGCCCTATAGGAGTTCATCAGGTCACTCTGAGTCGGCATCAGCTTGATAGCAGGGGGCTGAGATTTTGAGTGGGGCTCTGGTGGTGTGGCAAATTCTGTATGGAACTGCTCATCACAAGGCCAGCTCTTTGAAACCATCAGCTACGCTTTGTGAGAAAGATGAGACTCTCTATTTCTATAAAGAATTAAAAGTCTTGGAACCTGGAGGGGACATTTCTTTCCTGTCCTATAAGGTCATCATCATATGGAATCTATTCAATAGCTGTGAATAGGATCTGCCCCTCTGGAACTTTGTGAAATTGCTTAAGGCTCCACTGACTTTTCTTTCAATGTTCCAGGTTTCTAGTCTCTTTCCTCACACCTAGAAATAGCAAATGCAAAGAAAAAGCTTCATGCAGAAAGTTAGACTCATCACGGCGAACGTCTCTTCCCTCTAGGATCTGGGTCCTTCAAGTTAAAGCTACTTCGACAGTAGCCCATTATCTTCTAATACATCCTTTCTGTTTGCTTTTTAATCTGGATTTGCTAGTTGTTTTTAATAAGACTTTTCTTTCTTTTGAAGTTGAAGCTAAGGGATTATTTGTATCTATTCATTTCTTTTCTTCTCTTTTTACAACTCTGATTTGGGTGAAGGTTCAAAAGCAAATTGCATTCAACATTTCATACACATTGGGTGGTATGACATTGGTTGCAACCTCCACAATGTAACATCTCTCGTTCCACTTCCTGTGTTTCCTGTTTGCATTCTTCCTTCTTTCCTAACTAACCCTCGCTGACATCTGAATTTTGTCTTTGGGAAAATACTGCACTTTGACCTCGGGTTGTTTGGTCGATTGCTTGAAGGAGTTTGTATTCCTCTAGTGTTATTGTTTACCTTTTAGATCTATTTGTTGAATGATAACTGAACCATAGGGTGTGTTCCGTTCTGGGCCTGCAGGGTGACTAAAGGCCATAGTCTTGGGGGTTCCCCCATTATCTAGGGGACCAGTAAGCCTGCTCTTCTTTATAATTCTGAATTTGCTCCACAATTTTGCTTTCATTCTCTCTAAGACCTTCTAACGTGACCCTGACAGTGTTTTGAGGCTATGCATAAGGGAGGTATGGCAAGACTTGGTCTCACGTACTTCAGACATGTTGTCAAGTGAGACCTGTCCCTGGAGAAGGACATTATGCTTGGTAAAGTGGAAGGGCAGCAAAAGGGCGGAAGGCTCTCCATGAGAAGGTTTGGCACAGTGGCTGCAACAATTGCCTCAAGCATAGGGACAATTATGACACACCTCCCAGCAGTGTTTCATTCTGTTATACATAGGGCTGTGATGGGTCCAAACTGACTCGGTGGCATCTCTCAACAACAGAATGATCCTACTCAGAGCAGCTGGTAGCTGTAGCTGCATTCCAGAGAGTTCTTCTGGTTCTAGGGTCATGGAATCTGAGGTTTGTATGGTCCATTAGCTCTTTGGACTAATTGTTTCCATGCATCAATAGTTGCAGCTTAGATGGTTGTTTATGGCTTTTAATACTCAGGCATTATTCAGTAAAGTAGGCTGCCAAACACTGTCTTTTTCTTTTTAAACAGTTTTATTGGCACTTCACCCACATATCACACAATTCAATAGCTCAATCAT